TATATATATATATATATATATATATATATATATATATATATATATCGTGCGCGTGTGTGTCATGTTTTCGCCCCGCAACAGCTCTAGGCAGTTTCCCGTGTTTTCTAGTGCAGTCGATTTATCCACACTGTCCGAAAAAATTGGACGGCGCCAGGCCTATGGGCCAAAACACTGTTCAGTTTGCCCATAGGCGTTGCATAGTGACTTCCATATGTATATATATATATAATTTATTTTATTTTTTATTTTTTTTAGTGAGAAGGTAATGTGGAACCTTAATAACTAATTCGAAGAAATTTATGGAGTGCCATAAGCAAGACCTAGTGGAGGAAGACCTTACAAAAACTCCATTGAGTGTAATGCTTGGGCAAAGAACAATACTTAGGAAGAGCAACTCCTGGGAACCCTTAGTGCTGAAAAACACTCACCCAAACACCACATATTTTAAATTATAAGACTTGAGAAGGCAAACAAGTTGTACCGGTTCCTCCAACAATGGCAAAATTTCATGGGCCATTCCAATGTAGGAAAGCATGGAAGCAAGCACATCAGGAACATGAGGATTAAGATCCACATGGCGCAACTGCTGACATAGAGAATCAACTACATAATCTGCATTCCCCACAACCAAGCTTTTGACCTATTCAAAAGTAAAAGAAATCAAGAGCCTACAAAATTTAACACAATTATAAACTGCCAAGGGAAAACAGGTTTTGCCAAAATGCCCACCGTGGTATGACCAGTTGAAGAAGAAAGGGTCTGCAGCACAACATCAGAAGCACTCTTGACTTGATCATTAGAACAAATAAGATTCTTCAGCAATAAATATAGAGAAGAATGTAGGAACCCACTTCTCTCGAAATCTTTACCTAGTGATATTCCAAATATGCCTAAGCCATCGACTATAACCTGCCATAAAGCAAAGGTGGTAATACCAGAAGTATTTCAAAGTGGTCGTGCATGCAAATCAACAAAAGAGACCTTAAAGTATAAACCAATGCTCCTAGTACACAGCTGGCCCATCCAGGGACAAAAAAGAGGTAGTACTCTGGTTGAAAATTTCAAACAGGAAGTAAAAAGTTAAGAGGAAGAAATGAGTTATTGCCTACACAAAATTGCTCTCTCCCTCCTTCCAGTATCGCTTAATGGTGATTCTTCAAAAAAAATTCTTAGTTAATCATTCATGCCACAGAGTAAATAAATGAGTTGGACAGGAGGGCTGGTGTATAACAGTTTAGAAGTGGCCCAGTTTCAAACCAGGTCAGACCTAGAGTCCTAGACCAATAAATAACTGAATTTATCTAGTTGAGGCCAATGGCCCCATTACTCAAAGAAAAATTTAATATCATCATTTAAAACCATGGAAAATAGAAATCTACCTGTTGAAGCATAGCAGCATCCTGGAAAAAATGCAAATCCAGGTCTTCTGCACCAGCGCCCCAAACTAAAAGAGGAGAATCTTGATCTAATGGAAGATCCCAAATTTCAGGCGATAAATATTCATGTAAAATGCTGCCAACACAATCAATTTTATGCCTCCTAGTTTCTCCTCCTTCACAAATCATCCAATTCACTGATGGATCAATAACTGTTGAATGAATTCCTTTCCCAGAGCCGTCAGCTAAATTGTCACTGTATCCAATCTCCTCTTCCCATCTTTCACTTACTTTGTTCTCAGATATTCTAAACAAGTTTTTGTATAAATTGACAGATTCATCTGATATGCCATAAATGATCTCATTCAGAAGACACACTGCAGTACTTGCTTTACGCAGTAACTGCCCAGACCCATGTCTTGCATACCAAGCCTGCCACCCTTCTTTCCCATATTCCCTTATTCGAAGCTCTGAGATCAATGTGTGGATATCCTCCAATGGAACATCAGTCAGGGTGGATAAAGACATTTCACATCCGCAATCTATCCACAAAGTACAAACAGATAACAAAGTCAATAGGTAAAACTAAGTGCAAAATTCACATAATTCAGATTGAGTGATATTAAAAATGAGACTAAAGAAAACCTGCCATCACTGATAAACTGACAAGCCTAACTATTCCTGCAAGCGTGTGATAAAGTCTAGGTCCGCCAACATGAACAAACCAAGGAGGCATTCTTGGAAGTAGATGTTCTGCACATGCAACTTCCAAAGGAACTTCAGACCCTTTCTTTAGAGAATTGAATGACTTGGAAATTTCATCTGAACTAACAATCATCAAAGCCTTATTGGCGTTTGTCCAGCTATAATCAGCTTTCAATTCAGAAATGGAGTGCAAGTATCCTGCAGAGGGCTTTGCTAAAATCAGCTCATCCATAGAACTGGCAAATGCAGAGTTGTGACTCACGGACATTGCCAGAGATTCCAACAAACGAGCAATTGAGAACTGCAACATCAAATTATAAATATTTTCTCAATAATACTTGAAATTCAAACAAAGCTAATGCTCAATACTAACCTCTTAAAAGGAGAAGGAAAATAAAAATCGTGGAACTGAACACACTAGTGCAAAGACCACAAAGGGTAACAAATAAGACTACATGGTACGTTGAAACAAAGTTCTTGCTACAACTTCAGTTCAAATGAAGATAATGTATGAAAATGGCAAACGAGCCACATAACATGCACGATCATTTAATTACACAGAGCACCATTAAATGTCTAGCAGTACTTCTGTATTAGATCTTCAGATGTTGATAGGTACAGGGCAATCCTCTGTACGTGCGTGTGTGAAGCAGCATAAATTTTCAAGCATCAAGAGTTTAAATAAGAATGATAGAACATAAGGAAAATAACATATTAAGCATGCCGGTGCACCTTATGGGACATGTCCTTTAAACTTAAGAAAACATGGGATAGATAATTTACTTACTGGTGTATGAAGAATGTGGTCAACCACACGCTTCGGACCAACAAAAAAAATTGCTGCAAGCAATCTTTGGGCGTGAGACACTGCACCACTGATGTCACTTCCAAGCACTGCCCTCGGCAGTTTCTCAATAAGCCTGTTTTGCAAATAACTTAGCACCAATGAATTACGCTGTGCTTTAACATTCTTAAGAATTTTACCTGCTCAAGATCTCTGCAATATCATTTTCCTTTAGGTATCTTTCATTCATTGAGAACAAGAATGCTAAAAAATTCCGAGCAGCTGAGGCCACAACATCGTAATCATCACAAACCAAAACAAATAAACATTCCTGCAGAGACAGTCATATGAAAGATTCACTATGACATTTCATGGAACACAAAAGTATCACAAAAATAACTACAAGAATAAAAGCGTGCAGATTTGCACGAAGGCTTCCGTACATACTAGGTGGATACAACTAGATGAATGTATACATTCACACATCTATCTATTCAGATGTATGCTTATGCAAATATAAGTAAAATCATGCAGCTTTGAGAGCAAATGTCCACAGACCCAATAAAATGTACTGATGTGCATGGATTTGCATATAAGTAACATACATGGGTTTACTCATAGATACATGTGAAATGTACGTAACACACATGCATGCAGGTTCATACTCACCAAAAGTATAAACTTGGTCTTCTCTAGCGTGTAGAGGCATCTAGTCAATAATCCTTGCATGGCATCCACAAGCCCCAAGCGGACTTTCTGTGCTGGATGGACACACAGCTGATGCACAATTGCTTCACATGGTTAGGGGTAAAATATAAATTGAATCAAAAGGTAGAGAAACATTTGACATTAATAAGATTGACAACCATTACAATCAAGAAGGTTTAATGCTTAAACGTACATGAGGAAATGTTGCAGATACCAAGGTATCTATGTGCTCAGCAGTTTTTTCAATCCATTCCTTTGAGCGATGCACATGAAGAGGGGCCATGTGTTGAAGGGCATCAGCAGTGCTCTTCCTAGATTCAATTTCTTTGGCCATGTTAACACTGTTCAGGTTATCAGTTTGCGGGTGTAAAGAACGAAGAGCCGCCAACACTGACTCAACAGAAGTATCTTTGCATGGACGGAGCTCTTTAAGAACATTCATGGATATGCCCAAACCATTAAGATTTGGTTCATCCCCAAACACGATCATTAGAAACTCAGCCAAGCCTCTTACTGCATGATCAATACTTTCAACACTTCCACCTGCCCCACTAATCATGATCTTTGAGCGATTCAAAACTTTTCCAAAGCCACTAACAACTCCAGGTAAAAAGAAAGCCAATGCATCAGCAGTGCCAACCTGCAAGAGGATATAAAGAAAATATATAACCATAACCAAATACTAGAAAATAGAAACACCCCGGATAAAATTAATTTTATGAAAGTTTTTCCCACAAAGCAACAAATATATGAATTGCGAGCATCTAAACAATGGCAGAAGTTGCAACACACTGAGCACGTGATCACATACCCATAAAGCTGCTGCTAGTTACCTTAGCGATGAGTATACGCAGGGTTAAAAAGGCTTCAACACGAAGTTTGGCACTTCCCACATGACCTCTCACAGCTTCAGTCTCTGCAGCCTTTTCAAACATATACAGACTTAAGCAAGAATAATTGGTATACTGGGTTAGTCAATGTATCAAAAAGTAATAATATAAGAGACAGGTAGAAGATACCCACCTCAATTACAAATAAAATAGTTCATTTTGTATGAATCCAATAATTCCATTTCATGTGTATATTATATATTTCAAACATAAATAATATTTTTAAAGAATAGTAAATGTCATTCTTCAAAAGAAAAATAAATGTAATTCTTCAATAGAATTTTACAACAGTATCATTACTTCTAGGGAAGTTTATCAAAATACCCATGAGATAAGGTATTTAAATTCTGCCAATTTGCAACTATTCCAACTCAAGGCAATGTGTATTTTTATGGGTATTTTTGAAATTAAATCAAAAGACATGGATAAAGTGTTAAATTGCTCATCTCTTATGGCTAGTTTGATAAATTACCCTTGTTCGATTAAATGGGAATTTGTGTTGATATATAAAACATAAGTAAATGTACATGTGAAAGCACTAAATTGTCTCATATTATTTTATCCTATTTTATGTATTCTATATTATATGATATGAAACCATGATAATTCTAAAGAAAGTTCTTACTTGGAGAAGCAGGGACAACCAGTGTCCAACTGCAGCAGAAGCATCTTGGGACTGGAGAAATGAAATCAAACACTCTTCACCTTCAGTTTGAAATTTCATATGACGATCAAAATAGGCTTTCAGTTCCGTGTTTGATACTAGTAAAGGCAAACCAGGAGTTGATTTACATGTGCAAGTTTTGATAAAGCATGGACGTAGCCCAAGAAGCAATGCTTTCAAGCACTTGATTATTCCTTCCCTAAATTCTTCTGAAGAATCAGATGGTGGAAGCAAAGCCCCATTTGTCAAACTCTTCAAGACCACAACCATCTGCAAGAAAAAATCTCTATAGATGAAGTAAACATATTTGAGTAAAAGAGAGTAAAAATACAGACAGTGCTCAAAAGAAATATCTTAATGACTGAATAAAACCATTAGGAGCACAAACATTGCAACTGGGACTAGTCATAAATGACGCATTTGATGAGTGTAATATACCAGAAAACATAGCTTTCTCACAATCATTGCAGAATAAACATTTGAGAGGTCCAGGCCTTTTATTTGTCACACATTTAGTATGTTACTATAGATTGGTTAGATTGAAGACAACTTATCGGATATAACCATCACCTATGGGTTAAAGTGACATGTATCTACATTCGAAATTTGCAAGTGTCATAGAACTACGAAGGGAGATACCTGATTCACAGAAACCAAATGGCACTTCTTTAAAACTTGCTCCAAACACTGCAACACACCTTCTGCCACCCTATCACTGATTGTACAGGGAGCCATGTCCACTCCTATGTTTTTATTTGGGTCACCTTTAGAAGATGACCTGCAACGAATGGCAGCATCAAGGAGAAGCAGCAAGGGAAATAGGACATAGCTGAAAATGGAAAACTAGAGCATTAGGGGATACTAAACATTAAAGCTCAAAATAAGCATTACAACAAAAAAAAAAATGGTAAAGAAATAGTCAATAAAAATGAAACCAGAAATATTCGTCGACTTAATAGACACTTTTTTGCATTTACAATATATATAGAGCGATACATGTCCCACTGCAAGATACATAATCCCAGAAAGCCAGTGAACAATATAAGCTACAAGGATTCTCATAGCACAAGCCAAATACATAAACTAGCATTCCAGATACAATATGTCAATTAATCAACACTTCATTTCAGTACTCTCATGAATGATAGTCATACATTTATTATAGGCACGACCCGCTTTTCTTTAAAAATTTAACTTTAGAAATATATGATATGTTTAAGGGTTTTAGCACAAGGCGTAAACTAGTTTTCTCCATGTGAATCCAGAAGCAATGAAATACACCAGTATTGTGAATCTTAGTATCGTATTTCAACAAATTCCAACTTTCCCACCCCAACCAAAATTGGAAAAGCATACAATGACCAAGACAGCCCCAAAACCAGAGGATCACTTGTTTTAATCAAACTAGTCATATAATTACCACGTACCAGTTCCATATTTTCTCTAGTTGTGCAGATAATCCCAAAAAAAAAAAACCACATTCGGAAAAATTTTAAAACAAAATATTTTTTCAGCAGAAGAATTGGATCCCTTTTCCTCTTTTTTTAAGAAACAGATGGGGAGCAGGTTGGTTTAAGCATCAGCAGTCTTTTCAAAATTGGAAATGTTAATGTAAAATTATCAATTTTCAATTCCCACATAATGCCAGAAAACATGACATGAACGTCATATCATTCCAGACCAAAGTTTGATTCAGCCAAAATTTCCATATTCCACCCTGGAGTAAAAATTGTTTCACCATCGGACAGAAAACACTTACAAAATTTAAAAATAAATAAATAAATAAATAAATAGAGATCCAAATGACAATCTTCAAATAGTGAGAAACAAGCAATAGAAGCAGATACAAATTATGGACAGAAAAAACTTACAAAATTAAAAAAAAAAAAAAAATGGAGATTCAAATGACAATCCCCAAATAGTGAGAAACAAGCAATAGAAGCAGATAAAATTATGTAAAATTAATGAGTATGTAATCCAGGCCAAAACCCAAACAATTTGCTCCAGAAATCATCTAGAGACAAATTAAATGCAGACGAGAACTAGGTGAACCTTCCGATAAAATAAGCATTTCCACTACAAAAATCACAAACAAATACACCAGTATCACAGACTTTTTATGAGCAGTGGGTATTTCATAATTCAGACAAAATTCCTAATTATTTGTGTAAAGTTCCTGCTTATATAATGGAAAAAAAAAAGGAATCTGGATGCAAACACTAATGATTCCCTCAAGTTTTTACATGATCAAATGGATTATCCCACTTATTGGGACAAAAAGGCAAAATATTCAATTCAGTTACAAATCCTAGCTAACAGCCTCAAATTCTCTCAGGGTTATATTGAAATATTATACTGGCCAAACACAGTTACAGAAACATTCAGTTAAGTATAAATCCTAACAATTTGCCTTCATTACTCACATGTTCTTGTAGAACTGATCTATTCATCGACAAAAGAAGTGCTAAGATTCAGTAAACATACTCAAAGCATGACTGCAAAGAATCAGGAGGAGCATTCCGGACATAATCAATCAGTGCAAAAAGCGGAGCTCCATTACTGTGAGGTTTCTGAAGAAGTTCTAGGGTTTCAGTGCACAGTGGGTTGAGTTGAGCAAATACTTCGCTTCGGATGAAAGAGCTCGAGCCCTGGTTAGGCTCTTCTGCAAAATCGTCCATGGCTTCAAAATTAGGGCACAGAAAAATGGAAGAAGCCCTTTGAGTTGGGATTTTCTCGCAGTTTGACTGTCTTTGTGTGGGAGTTGAGTATTTATGAGCACTTTCTTGGCGGTAATTTTGAATAAGAAAATGACGCGTTTATCCACCAGAAATATTCAATATCTCAAAACTGGTGCTCGTCAAATTTTAGGGATTTTCAGTTTTGGGGTGCGGTTTGTGTAAAGCCTAGGCTCTAAACAATCAAATTAGAGCCTACTTTCAAATAGTGTTGTAGTTTCAATATTGGAAATCTTTGTAATAGCTTTAAAATATATTTTTATATTTATTTATAAAGTTTAAAGCTTCAAAATTAGTGTAGATCGACATATCTATAAAAACTTGGAAAATCTTGAAAATTGATGATCAAAAAATGCGTTACAAAATACACTATTTCCAAAGCTTGCAATCTATTGTATTTCTCATGTCTATGCATCTTGATGTCGAGATGATCAATTTTAAGATATTTCGGCATCAAAACAACTTCTACTAGTGAAATTTTTTGAGGTAGGCTCAAATTTGATTGTTTACAGCCTCAGCTCTATATAAACTTTTCCTTTTAGTTTTTAATTTGGCATGAAGTCTATATAAGGTTGTTTTGATGTCGAAAAACATTCCAAGTGATCCGCTCAACATCGAGATGTATGAATATAAACAAAAAAGGATTTCAATTCCCAAAGTAATGTACCTTGTAATGTTCAATCTAGATTGTCCTTTTTTTAAAATTTCTAGTGTTTATAAATATGTTCTATCCATATCATTTTAGAACTTTAAATATGACTAGAAATGAAAATAGACTTTTAAATTGTCATAAAGGTTTGTAGCATTGAAACTATATTTTTTTAACGAGACTTGGAGGTGCGTCTTATTTTGATTATTTGAAGTTGACACCTAATACAAATCGCACCCTTTTAATTTTTTTATACAAAAATAATTATATAATCAATATGTTTATCTCTCTGGTACAAGAATGTCGCATCACCTCGATCCATCGGATGTGGAATCTAAGGCAGTGGATGTACTATGGTCAAGTTTAATGCCAAATCAATTTTTTGTTTAGATTTCAATATTTTTTTAGCCACATGATTTAAAATCTGACAGCAAATAATAATTGCGACCTTACTTTTTCAAATGTCGTACATTGACCTTTTATAATGATCGTCATAGTTTTCGTCTTTTAATAAATGCTTATGCAGTGACATGATTTTTGTTTTTTATAGTTGCATTGGCTATAGCAAGAAAAACATTGAAATTGTTGCACTATCAGCAGCTATCTATAGCGTATATATTAAGTATGAATGATAAATTAAAGGAAAATTCGTTCATGAGTCCGCGGGTGCAAGAACTCTGACTCAGCAACGTCCATCTTTTGTTAAAAACTCAGGGCTTATACGGTGTACAAATTATTTTCAAAAAATCACATATTAAATATTGAAACTTTTATTTGTTTTTTTTGTTCATGATCATCTTAACCTAGATCATGAATCCCTAAATTTTAGATTAAAAATCTATTTTTAAGATGGTTTGATGGGAGGCCCGAACATGTACATTATGAGACAGCTGACTCATATAAACCCATCCTAAATTAAAATGCCTACTACCACATAATTATATATTCACATTTTTATATTATTGTAATTTTTTATGTTACGATATTTATAATATTTGTTGATATGATGCATATGCGTTGTGGTATTATAAATGATAACTATTTTGTGCGAAAATTCTCGAATCCAGTTGTTTTACAAAACATGGTACCCTTTTTGGAGCTCAAAATGAATGTGTTTTTAAATTCTTAAGGAATGTGTATCGAGAACTAAATCATGCAAATCTGATAAGCAAGGGACACGGCTAGGCCCTCGAGTTTTGAAAAAAATTAAAAATTAAAAAAAAAAAATTTAAAAAGGAATTTTGTTAAAAGGGTACAGTTTGTATAGAGCCAAG